CCTGCCTGGGAATCCAAAAACCTACCGCTTAAGGGTTCGACCCTCCAATAAAGCGGCCATAACCTATTATGTTTGTAGGGCTTCGGGTCACAAATACATGCAGCTACATGGATCCATAAAGAAATTTGCCCTAAACCCTAAACCCTAAACCCTAAACCCTAGCAGCTAGAACCAAAAAAGCTCTGACAGGTCGTCGAGGCAGTACACGTGGAGACTCAAGTGTTCAGAACCCCCCCAAACCACTGCTGTAGCGGCTTTACTTAGGATTTAGGGGTTTAGGGTTTAGGGGTTTCGGGTTTAGGGTTTGGGCATTACTACTGAGAATGCGTCGGAAATGTTTGTTGTGTTTTTTGGAAGTTGGGTACGGTACGATAGAGTATAATTGAAATAAGGAGCCCGAAATTGACTAGTGCTGGTAATTATCCAGGCTTCCATACTGCCTATACCAGCAAGCCCGCCAGGCGCCTAAACCCTGGACCCTACACCCTAAACCCTAAACCTTGAACCCTAAACCCTAAATCCTAAACCCTAAATCCTGCACCCTGAATCCTAAACCCTAAATCCTAAACCCTAAACCCTAAACCCTAAATCCTAAACCCTAAACCCTAAACACTAAACCTCTAAACCCTAAACCCTACACCGAGCCTCCACGGGAATGAAGGTTGTCTGGAAGCGGATGGAGCACTGAGCGTCTAAGTTTCGGTTCGAGAGGTCGGTCTGTCCTGCGATCAGGGTTTTTTGGGTTCAGGGTTTAGGGTTTAGGGGTTGTGGGCCGTATTTATAAATATAGTAGCCTCTCGTCATAACCTTATATAGCTAATAAGTCCCATGAGCCTTTGAATAGAGGCGAATCCTTAATGACGGGATCTCAGGGGGTTCCATCGCATATTTCACAAGTCTCATCATAAAAAATCCTCTGCTTCCGCAGGTGGCAGAACCCCGCACTTCACGGCTCGGCTCACAAGCCATAGGTTACCATGTTTAGGGCTGTCGGCTTCGCGTCAGGCTGTACATGAGCTTCATGGGGCTCTAGGACTCAAGAATCATACGACTTAAGCGTGCATGATCAGACAGGGATAGGGTTTAGGGCTTACAGGGTTTAGGGTTTTGGTATTACAGGGCATCTAATTTTAGTCTGCGCTTGAAGCCTTATTCCGTCTTTGGCTTTGGAACTCATGTTTTCGGGGTGCTTGCTCTGCTGGTGGGGCCTCGTCTGCGAATAACCGTCGGACATTGCAAACAAATCACTATACTATACTATATACCGTCTACTAAATACTATATAATATATACTATACACTATACTATACTAGACTAGACTATACGTAGTGTATTGTACTATACTGTACTGTACGGTGCCGTATTGTACTAAACTCCACTTTGCTACTATATATAAATTCCACAGCCTTCCTCACGCCTGAACGCTGAAAGCTCCGATAAACCGTGAAGAAATCTCAACCACCATGAAGTGACATGTGTTGCTTGAAGATGAGAATCAGACGCTAAGCATGAGGACCCCACTGCCAGCCGCAGAAGGTTAGCAAATCTTTTTCACCTTAGACTATTAGAAGCTTCGAATCTCTGAATCGAAACTGTAAACACTGGAGCCTTAGCCCAAAACCACAAACTCTGAAAACCCCATGCGTCCTGCACTCCGGCACCTTGAACCCTTCAAGCCCAAAAAGTCCTTCCAGGCCGGCGTAGCTGCCGTATGCGCCCATTTGTTGCAACACGCTCCTGCAAAGGGGGGGGGGGGGCCTAAACCCTAAATCCAAAAACTCCTTAAACCCTAAACCCTTTGAGGACCTACACCTCAGATTTTGAAGGCTCCCTAAACCCTAAACCCCAAAAGGACCTACACCTCAGACTTTGGAAGGCAATATCACACTACACAGCGGCGGGGTATAACCCCCAACTGTGCATAAGCCCCCGCAGATCTTCCAAAATCCCTTAGCTAACGGAGTAATATAGGGGCCTTAATAATTAGAAGAAAGGTTTTGGGGCCCATTATACTATAAATATAATAAGGAACCCCAAAAACAGTATAGGCAATTATTAAGGCACCGATAGTATACACCTTAAATCGTAGTAGGGATCCAACTATAACTTCGAGGTCTATTCCTGGAGTAAGGGACTTTGGGACGGTCCGGCCGGTCTGGGCCTAGCAGTGCAGGTGTCAAGAGTTCATGTTTCCCTAATCTTATTTTTAGGGTTTAGGGTTTAGGGTTCAGGGTTTAGGGTCGAAATAATAATTACCTATACTGTTGCGGGGGGTTCCTTGTTATGAATATACTAGAATGGGCCCCAAAACCCTATTCTAATTGTTAAGGCCCCTACATTAAACCCTAAACTGTGGCACAGTCAGGGGCCCGAGGTTCGAGCGCTAGTTGACTTTGAGAGCAAGGCCTGCGCAACTCGGTGGCTATGAAGGCTCAGAAGCTTGTCTTCAGATAGAAGCGGTTTAGGGCTTGGGGCTTTAAGGTGTGATGGTTTAGGGTTTGAGCGTTTAGGGTTTAGGGTTCTGGGATGCGTTCTGTGAGGCATTTGATGCCGGTGGATCTGGGTGTAAGGGGGTGGAGGGTTTCGGGCGTTAGGTGCTCAGGTTTTGAGGTTCAGGACTCGCAGGTAATTAGGCTTTAGGAATTCGGGCTTCATTTGAGGTTCAGGACTCGCAGGTAATTAGGCTTTCTGAGTTCGGACTTCACTGAGTACCCCAAAAGGGTCCATGTACCCCAAGTAGTATATAGAGTATATTATACTTGGGCACCAAACTGCTTATATAGGCACTGCTTTCAGGCCAATGTATATAACATTCGGGCACATGGACCCTTACGGTTGGGTCATGTCTTAGCTTTGTGGCACCCTCCGGGCATCGCCTAGGCAATGAGTAATGTACGCAACCCAAATTGTACTGCCCCTCATAGACACTCACTCCGAAACCACGACGAGAACCCTGTGGCAACCGCCCAAAAGATTCAATATTGATTCGATTTATCTCATCTCGAAACCCTGTCCTTCTGCGCCTGGTCTCCATCCCCGAAACCGTATACATAATCCAGAACTATAGGGATCACCGTTGTAAAGCAACCAACAATGCCACAATCTAACACCCACTTGCGATCTCAGGGATGCTCCAAGCCCGGAGATATGCAACGAGTAAACCTAAACCCTGAACTAAGCCCCTAAATCAATGGGTCACAACCTACTATAATTCTGCAGGGCTTGGGCATGCAGTAGTACCCTCAACCCGAAACCCTAAATTTGCGGCTTCAACGTGCCGGGACGATATTAATCGGTTGGCCGGGAAGCCCTACAGCGCAGACCGCAAACCCAATAGTACCTCTATACTGTCGATGATATAAATCCTAAATTACCTTAAGGGCCCGAAACTGTGGAAATTATGGTATGTTCCTCCATATGGGAAATGCAGCATTTAGATCATCACCCGTAGTACCTTTATAGTGCCCGCAAGGAAGGCTTATAAGGAAACCTTAGATTGCCTTCAAGCAACGCCTAATTCCTAAACCCCCAAACCCCAAATCCTAAACTCTAAACAACCCTAACCCCAAATCCCTAAACCTCCTAAACCCCTAACCCCTAGGTTCCTAAATCCCTAAACCCCAAACCCAAGACCGCCAGACCCCTAAACCCTAAATCACCCAAGAGCCGCTCCGCAGAGTCGCTGGCTGCAATGGGCCACCGGTGCGGGAGGCCACAACAGCCACCTGCTTGGTGCTTCACGGGACGTAGGGTTTAGGGTTTAGGGTTTAGGGTTTAGGGTTCAAGGTTAGGGTGTAGGGTTTAGGCTTTACCGTAGGGTTTAGGCGCTACCGGTGGGTCCAGGGTTAAGGGGCTGCTTGGATTCACGGGGCTTACTAAGTCAAAGGGCTCAGTGTACGTGGAGGCTTCGGGACTACTTCGAGGTTCATGGGCCCCAAACCCTAGACACTAAACCCTATACCCTAAACCCTATGCTGTTAGAAGTCTATACTGCTTTGAGGTTCACGGGACTTAGTTGTTTATTAAAGGGCTCCCTAGAGAGATCTATAAGCGTTTCAAAAAGGGTACCACAAGGTTTCTATGGGGTTCTAGAGTTTGGGGACTTTGTCGTAAGCAGAGTTAGTAGGTTTCCTTGTAAAGGGTACTATAGGGTTCTATAGTAGGATGGCCTTCAAGAGGTTTAGGGTTTAAGGTCTACTTGGAGGTTCATGGGCCCGAGTAAGTAACTAGCAAGTACAGTTATGAATACCTTAGCTTGGATTTTAACTGGTTGTAAGATGTTATAAGCATAGTTGCCGTATGCAACCCTAGCTACTAAGCCCCATGAACCTTTAAACACATGATGGTACAGCCATATACTGTTTAAGGCTTAAGGGTCAGGGTCAAGGTGTAGGTCTTATGGTTTAGGGCTTCGGGATTTCAGGACTAATCGTGCTTCAGGGGTGCATGTGCTTGTATGCGTATCCTATGTGTGCTATTTGTCAAGTTTCGAAGGGACCTGAAGGTCAGCCTTCAAGATTATGTCGGGAGTGCACTGAAAATGGTTAGAACTTGCGTGCTATCATGAGGGTCGGTCATGAGGGTTGTACGGCACAGTTCTGGGGGAATAACCTACCTTCATGAACCTGCTGGTGCCCTTAAGGATCCATGTGCCCATATGGTAGATACTAGAGCCTGGAAGAACCTATATAGAGACGACCTTAAGGCCAAAGAATATATACTACATGAGCACATGGACCCCTAGGGTATTCTAGGAATGATCGCTGCGGAATGAGATCTTAAAGTTTGCGGTTTCGACTTATGAATCAACCTGGCCCGCTTTTGGGTTCCATAGGTTATGATTTGCTGGTAATCCTTAAAGAAGTTAAAGAAGTAGATTATATTGGATTTGTGGTAGGTTTAGAAGGTTTATGTACCTGTTGTTTCGGATTGAAACCCTGAGAAAAACCACCTTACTGGATCTCAACAGACGGAGGCCGAGGATTTATCCCGAGGAAAGGTGGCAGAAATGGCTGACAGAATCTTAAGACAAACTCCAAGTCCTGCCGATGAACATCCCTAAACCCTAAACCCTAAACCAACCTTAAATTAAAACCCTAGACATCCCTAAGCCCTAAACCCTGAAACCCTAAACCGACTACCGACCGAGCTCTCGAGAATCTAAACCTCGTAAGCCTTTAAGCCCTAAGACCCGCAGCCTGGAGTGTCCACAGCCCTGATAGGGTTTAGGGTTTAGGGTTTTTAGGGTTTAGGGTTTAGGGTAGCTTCTGCCAGACATCCGGCTCTGTGTGTGCAGGTATCCGAGTAATGTAGGAGCCTTATAATAACCAGAATAGGGTTTTGGGTATACTATACCATAATTTACAATAAGGACCCCACCCCCCAAAAAAGAATGGTATAGCTAATTATTATTACGGCCCCTACAGTACAGATTTGTTGCCGGGGTTTTGGGGGTTCAGAAGTCAAAGTCAGAACCCTAAACCCTAAACCCTAAACCGTGAGTCAGGCCTCATCCGCAGAGACGACGCCCAGCTTTTCGTTCCTGAGCTTGAAACAGGACTGATAGGTCCAACACAGCTAAACCTTTTGTGGATTTAGGGTTTAGGGTTTAGGGTTTTTTCCCAAATATCCTGATTGGTCCAACAGTGTCCAACACTGCTAAAATCAGCATCTTGCCCAAGGCAAGTTCAGTTCCTGAGATGTGGGTGGGCTGTTTTGCCAAGCCCAAGCGGACACACCAACGCCCTCACTCACTCGCTCACTCCCTCACCCACTCACTCACCCACCCACCACCCACCCACCCTCTGACTCACTGACTCACTGACTCACTCACTCACTCACTCACTCACTCATACATATCATTCTGCATAAGACTGTATAAGTAATTAAGGCACGGAGCTATGTTGCTAGTTATTCGACGACTATATGAGTCCAGAGGTTCAAACAGGTAAACCCTGGCTTAGAGCCCTATAACCCTAGGGCTTCATGTGGCTAAAGTATATACTCAGGCCGGAAAGGTACCCATATAGGGACACCTTTACTTAAATCCGAATTACACACTACATATGTATATGGAGCCTCTGGGTGAGGTCCGCAAACGGGTGCTTTTAGAAGGCCCAGTCGCTTCTGGAAAGTGCTTGCTATGGTCTTACGATTGGATCGAGTCAATAGTGTTTATATACGCGCCCAGCGATTTCGGATATATCTTCAATGTGAATCTAAGCGCATGCTCGAGTTTAGACTTCAACCTTAAGCCCTAAACCCTAAACCCTTACACCTTAAGCCCTAAACCCTAAACCCTTAAACCTTAAGCCCTAAACCCAAAACCCTTAAACCTTAAGCCCTAAACCCTAAACCCTTAAACCTTAAGCCCTAAACCAGCTTAACTAAAATGCTACTGAGCAGAATCAGTCCGGGATCCTTGACCTGAAGCCCTCAACTCTGAAGTTCGTCCATGGACAATAACAAGTAGAACAGCGTTATAGGTGAAATGAGCGGTGTTTAGGAACTTTGCGGATCTACTATTTCTGTATAATTGTTCATCACTCCATCTTGCCTCAGTCTAGTCTGGGATCAAGCTTGCGTGGGCTTATGTCGCTCGACTCCAGACCGATCTCTTCGGGGTCCTCCACACTACTGAACCCCGCGGCAACATGACGAGCACGTAAGAACCATGGGTCCCTATCCTCTGAAGGGTTTAGGTCCGCGGCGGGCTTGGGTGTTCATGGCACTTAAGGTTTTGGTTTACAGGCCCATAAAGCCGAAAACCCTAAAGCCCTAAAGCCCTGAACCCACAACACAACAATCATAGGCCTGCAGGGTCTCGGTTTCTGAGGCTTAGGGCTTCGTCTGTGCCGGGCAGGGCGGCCTTGAGCTTGTCATTGTTTCGTTTGGGGTGGTCGGTTTTGGGGCTTATAGGGTTTAGCATTCGGGGTTTAGGTTTGGGTTTTAAGGTTAATATAGCCCCTTCGGCATTGTATTACACTAGTCTATATAACCTCTTAGGGGGTGTATGAAAACAGAAAACATATGGAGAACCCAGTGTAAGAACTGATAACTGACCTTCCAATCAAGGACACCAGTTGTCGCTGCGTACGGTGAAGAGGCGCGCCCCACTCCTAAAAGCATACGAGGTAGGCTTGCATAGGGCAGCGTGAAGTAAGTGTTCAGGACTTTGTACTTGACCAAGAGGGTCCTTTATACTACAATGATGGAATTAGGTCCCCAACATCATACTAAGGATGGTCTTTTGGGGCCTAATTCCATAATTGCAGTTGTTATGGCCCATCTTGGTTGGTTTAGGCCTTCAGGATTTGGGCAGTTGTCGGTTTGGGTCAAGAGCCTTGGGTAGGCTTATTTGGAGAATACGGGACGCACCAAGGGGGTCTAAGCGACCGAGTTGCGACAATTGGCAACTCACCTTCGTTGTCTTACCCCATGTTCTGCCAAAGAAGGTCATGCAGATCTAGCCGCTTCTTACACCGGCGTTGACCTTGTGGGGAGCCTAAACCGTAACAGTAGCAAGCCCCAACAGCTCTTCAAGTCATCTTTTGTTCTTCTGTTATGCCGGGTCTTGTAATCCGGAAATTCTAAACCCTAAACCCTAAACCCTAAACCCTAAACCGAATCCTCGAATTCGTGGGCCTCTCTGGCGAACCCAGGTACTTCAGCTGCCCAGAGGGTCTACATGTACCACAAGTATGGAATTCCCTAAGGGTCTATGTACCCAGAAGGGTTCCAATAAGGATTCTATAAGGGTACCCTAGGGTTTAGGGTTTAGGGTTTAGGGTTTAGGGTTTAGGGTTTAGGGTTTAGGGGTATGAGTTTTGGGTTTAAGGGTCCATGTACTCAAATAGGATATACTTCGGCTTTAATGTAGTCCCTATATAGGTACTTTGGGGCCAATGTATATACTAGTTGGGTACATGGACCCTTCGGAATTAGGCCCCCAAAGACGATTCCTAGTATGGCCTTGGGGACCAAATTCCATAATAGTAGTATATACGGACCCTCTTGGCTATATAGAGGGTCCACTGAATGTAGTGCGCCGGTAGTACTTCCTCTTATATACCGACATATGGGTTTAGGGCGCACCCAAGAAAGCACATCGGCTAAAAGCTTCTAATTTCTTAGTTCGTAAGCCAGGGAAATAAAAGGATAAACTTTCAGATTAGTATTAAATTATAAGAGCCCAAAAAGTTTAAAGGTTGGGTATTCGGGAACTAAGACTTGTGGTTAGGGTTTCGGGTTTACACCTCAGTCTCCCCGTTATAATCATGCAAAAAAATACACAGTCGTCGGACCCCCTATAGACGTTCACCAAAGAACCTAGTATAGTAGGGGCCTTAAGAATTCAAGTAGGGTTTTGGATTTTTTTAATTAGGAACCACCCAAAAAAGCATAGGTAATTATTGGAGCCCTATATTAATCCAAGCCCACTGCTCATGGTTACAGAAACCCCTAAGGAACCCTGATAGCCAACCCTGTTAGCCGACTTACGTCTTTTCTGTGCAACGGCTCCGTAAGATAGTCGGACAACGTGTAAGAAACAACGTCGGTACCGCAGAAATCTAAGTACTTTTAGAAGTTGCAATGAAGCGATGTCAGAGTGTCTCACATGTAAAAAGTAGGGTTCTGGGATGTCGTCTTCATTACTTGAACCATGATGGCTCCACCTGACCTGTCCCGGCTGTACCTCGAGCCTAGCTGAGATCCTCGGGTTTGGGGTTTAAGGTTTTAGGGTTTTAGGAACCCCAAAGGCCCTAAAACTCTAAACCATTCTAGAGCTAATCAGCCAAGGGACTTGCTCTTGAGGTAGGTGTCGGTGATGTTCGCTCCCCAGCAAGACAAGGAGCCGCCTAGGAGTCGTTCAACGAGGTTTAGGGCTTAGGGATCGTGTTACTGAGTTCTCGTTGCCAGAATGAAAGAACGCATAGGCGCGGTATTTAACCACATCTCGAACGAAGTACTAGCTGCATACTCAAATCCTTTAATTAACGCACTATAGTATCCAGAGACTCGCAAACCCCTTAGTTAAGCAATATATATATATATATATATATATACCTCAGCATCTAAGGGGATCCTTAAACTGATTTGGTTTAAGGTCTATTCCTTACTTCCTGGGGATTGGAAGATCAGGGTCCTAAACTCTAAACCCTTAGATCCCTTAGACATCCCTTAAGGGAACGGTTTAGGGTTTAGGGTTTAGGGAATTTTTCTGGACTCCTATTAAAGGGTTTGTGCACCTTGAAGCCCAGCCTACCCTGGCAAAGGACCCTTTATACCCAAACCTTAAACTCTGAACCCCTATAGTAGGTTTAGGGTTGGTTTAGGGTTTAGGGTTTTAGGGGATTTCTGGGGGGTGGGGTTCCCTATAGTACCTGATGCAATCCTTTGAGAAACTCTGAAAGGAATCCGAAAACAAAACATGCAGCCGAAAGCGCCAACGGTCCCGCGACTGACATCATCCCAGGAGACCACCTGGGGCTTTAAGGCTTCACCAAAACCCTAAACCCAAAGCCCTACAGGGTTGAAGGCTTCAGGATCGGGTGCGAGGGAGTCAGGGGTTTAGGGTTTAGGGGTTTAGGGTTTCGGGTTCAAACACCGAACTCAGGCGTCGTTCTACCTGACATGGAGCGTTTTTGGGGATGGACACTCGTAGACCGGTGTTCACAAGAGAAGGGGACGAAAAGTCTGCACCACCGCCCTCCACCCGCCACCCCTCACCCCCCAAAAAAACAGGTGTGAAACTCGGTTTGCCGAGCTCCTTCGCACGTACATCATGAACTCCGAAACCGGAGCCCTACGGTGTGGGGTCTCGGGCTTCATGGGGCTACAGGGATCCTCTTACAGTCACGACTGTACTTAGAGTAGCACATTACCCCGAATCCCGACATCCTGCACGAGTTCCTTTTCCTCTATTAAGCAGGTCACCGGGTGAGTTCAAAGGCTCCGACTTAAGATTATCCTTTCTGGGGTGAGGGTTCACTCCCCAAAGCCCGAAGGGCATGGGCAATGTGGCGCGCGGGGGGGAAGGGCGGAGGACGTCATAATCTTAAGGATCCTGCCACCACTTGGGGTCTAGATTCGAGTCCCACCCTGACTTCCCATATACCAGCACAAGCTGCGCATGGAGTATCCCAAAACTCGCAAAGCTAGGACGTATCATCAGTAACCTAGCAGGCAACCTCGGGCGCACAAGATCTGACCAGCATTGCAATGCTCTTATGCAATGAGTTTAATTACTTAACACAAGAGTGCAGTGTTCAAGGCTACACAAGAATCTGAATCCAAAACACCGAATCTTGTCTGAGTCCAACTTCGAATCTTAGCATCTCCGTCGGTAGGAGGCCAGGCTCGCTTTTAGGGCTTACCCAAAGGCTCCATGTACCTTTATAGTAGCTACTTAAGCCATAAACGGGTCCCTATATAGGTACTTTAGGGCTTAAGTATCTACTATACAGGTACATGGAGCCTTTGGGTTACAGGTGACGTCATCAACCGGGAGTGTGGAGCTTCTGGGAGTCGAGGGCTCAGCGGCTGTCTGCTTCAGGGCGTAATGTGGGGCCTTCATAATTAGAATAGGGTTTTGGGGGTCCCGTAATATGATTATAGTATCATATACCTCAAAAACCCTATTCTAATTATTAAGGCCATATAGGTTTAGGATTTGGGAGCTTAGTGGTTTAAGTGTTTAGCGTTTTCCGGCTGAAGGCTTGCAGCCCTGATCTGCCTTGCAACTGTAGGTTGCGTAGTGGCCGCCTTTAGATCGGCAAGCTTCGTTGATGGCCTGACAGGAGTACCCTAAGGGTGCATGTACCCAAATAGTATATACATTGGCCCTAAAGTACCTATATAGGGACTACATTAAGGCCCAAGTATATGCTATTTGGGTACATGGACTTAGGAGTAGGGAGTGGGGTTTAAACCCTTAGGGTTTAGGGTTTAAGTCTGACAGTAGCCGAAGGAGGCTTATTATCGTTGACTCAAAAGCTACCATTTTCATGACTCAGAAGGACAGAAGCTGCAAACTTGAAGGATGAGGATTGGCCCTGCAGCGTCCCGGTACACTCTAACAGTGACTTTGCAGAGGCGCCTTGTAGTGGTTGAGCTTCTGCTTCGAGCTCAAACCATCCAATTGGGAGTTTCCGAAAATTAGGGGTACCTTATTGTGGGGTCCTTATGATAAGGATCCTATGATTTGGGGTACTATATTAGGGTCCCCTATTTTCGGAAACCCCCAATTGGACATCTCAGTCTTGGTGTCAGGTCCGAACCGTATAGACCCTACAACCTAAACCGTCGGTTGATCCGATAACGACCCATGTCCTCAGGTACAACTACCGGAATATCGGGGCTTTCATAATTAGAAGAGGGCTGTTGGGGTATTTTACACTTTACTTCTAATAAGGAACCGTAAGGAATAATGTTTGTAATCGTTTAGGCTTCTATAATAACCCTGAAGCAGCAGCCACCAAATTGTTTGAAGATCAATATCCTCCTGCCCTTCATATCAAGCAGAAGGAAACCCGACACTCACACATGTTCCAACTTCTTGGCTTCTAAACTAGCTTGCAGATGCCAGACAGCCCACAACTTTATATATACCCCTGAAGGCTCAAGCCCCACCTTCATGGTCGCGTCTACGGACGCCATGGTGGGAAGAAGCGGGGCTCGGAAGAGTTGATTGAAGCGCTTTTGCTTGGTATTGGACCGAACAGCTTTCCGGGGTCGCGAGGTCCCTAAACCCTAAACCCTAA